TGTGTGTGTGTGTGTGTGTGTGTGTGTGAGTGTGTGAGAGAGAGAGAGAGAGTGAGAGAGAGAGAGAGAGAGAGAGAGAGAGAGACAGTGAGAGAAAGATGCAAATTCAGACAGTCTGAGAATTAGTCCCACAGAATAGAGATGGAGGGGGGGAGAAGAGATGCAGATATGTAAAATATTCATGCGCTTCTTTGCATGGCGAGTGGGGTGGGGGAGTGTCAGGTGGAGGGATGGGGGGAGTGGGAGCTAGTGAAAGGAGGTGTGGGGGGGAGCATAGATGGAGATGGTTAAATGACACAACAAAGATGAGCAGCTGACAGTTTGCTGCCGATCCTTCAGGAGCATTGTTTACATCCAGACAGGCGCTGCAGGCACCCCCCTCATCTCCATCTCTCCATCGCCCTGTCTCTCGCTCTATCATTCCCTCTCTCTTTCGCTTTGTCTCCCTTTCTCCTGGATGGGGGTGACATGTGGGGCAACGCAGAAGCGCAGCGTGGTGTGTTTGTGTGTGTGTGTGTGTGTGTGTGTGTGCGTGTGTATGTGTGTGGAGAGGGAGCTCTTGTAACAAATATGCACTTGCACAATTGCTCTTGCATTTACAAAAATACCACATAGACACCACAGAGGCTTGAAACACCTCGCAATTAGCCTTTATAAGCCTAATGAAGTAAATACCACAGTATAATAAAAGCCTGGATCTGCAGGGTTTAGTATTGGACTACAGAGACATGAAAAAGGATAGCCACTTAAAATTAGCCACTGTGGACTTACGTATGCAGATACACTGATAGTAGAATGGAAGGCATAGACATAAAGGACACAATAGGTTGGCACTTTCATGCTTTGAGGACCCTACCAGTATTTCTCCAGGTATCCTAGATTTCCACGCAGCCATTTACTTCCATTTATTTCCATGTGAGAATAAATGGGAACCATTATATCAAAGATGCAACTTAAATGTAATGAAAAATAATGCTTACTTGATGTATACTGTCATGGATTACACAATTCAAGCAGATTTCATTAGTCCACTGTGCAGACTGAATTCATTTTAAAAAGCTGTGATCTGAAGTTTATGTAATTTAGAGCTAAAATAAATTGGTAGATTACTCAATTAATTTACGAAATTTACAAGAAATGTATTCTGCAAAGATATTGATAATTGATTAATCATGGATTGATTGTTACAGTGAAAAAATTTCATTGGTTCCAGGCTCTCAAATGTGAGGTTGTGCTGGTTTTTCTCTATTTTATATCACTGTAACCTGAATATGGGCTTTGGATTCTTTATTAGAGAAAAAAAAATATCTGAAGATGGAACAGTAGGCTGAGCCCCCTCTATAATCTGAAATTTGATAGACATAACAACTAATCAGTTATTTAAAAAAGTAGCAATAATAATAATCTATAATGAAAATATTTGTTAGTTACATCCTTGATCTCATTTTTACTTAAAAGGTAAAACCACTGGCATGGTTCTTTAAACAGATGAGATATGAGGGCATGAGTCCTGCTTTATAATGGAAACTTTGCGGTAAATATAACTATCAAGCAAATGCAACAACTCACAAAGCTTTACAGTGCCCATCACAGTGACAGTGTTTAATGAATCCAATACCTGCAGTTTATGTGCGTGTGTGCCTATAAGTCAGTGTCTGAGTTTTCGCGTGTGTGTACACTTGACTTAATTTATAAAAAAAACAAAAAAAGGCAGAAATGTCTAAGAAAAAAAATGCCACCCACACAAAGAGGGCATGCAACACAAAGCCATGCACATTCATACACGTCATCAGCAATCAGCAATAATGCAATTTTTAACCGCAGCCCGACTATATTACATTTTTGTGCATGGATAAGTCTACGCAGAATTACAGCAGATGATTTAACATTTAGTCAGGGAAACATGACTCTCCAGCCCATTTAGTCTCACCCCACTCTGTAGCATGGCCAGATGCTTTTGATATGTGCATTTAATTTTCAAACGGTTAAAATCATAGCCAGTCTTTTGATCACAGAGTAATATCATAGCTCAGACAGTTGGGTGGATTACACTTACATATAAAAAATAACTTTAATAGTCAGAACAAGTAACAATCAGCGAACTGGCACAGAGAAAGAGGGACTGGCCACTGCTGCTTAAAATAGTAGAGCACTTAAAAAAAGTTAAATATTTCTACCGTTTCTTTTAAAGGAGTTGAGGAGTAGCAACAATCATGAGCCCTTTTAAACACTGAGCAGGTCTAAGTCTACTTTGTGCCATAGCAGTAAAATGCAGCTGAGACAGTACTCACCTCCTCCGAGTAGTGATCTGAGGGAAGAGGGGGGTAGTCACACTGTTCTATCTTCTTACAAAGGGAGTAAAGGTTCATCTTATCCCCATAGAACGGGCTCTGTAGGGCTGCCATCTGAAATATAAAGATATGAGGAAAAAGGAATATGGAGAGAGAAAAGGGGAAAGGACAAGAGGACAGGGTTTGAGAGGGCAAAGTAAAAACTTGAAACACTCAGTCAAATTCTCAACAGGTATTACTGTACAGTATGGTAAACATAGATCCTGCACAGTTTACTGCTATCGACATACATGATTAAAAATGGATTGGGTGTGAGAGACAGATAAAGCGGGACAACAAGTCAATATGTGTAAAGTTGTGTGTGCATATTTAATCAGTACACAGTCATGTATGTTTTTTTGTACTGGGATGAGCAATGGTCTGAAATTCAAGTGAACCAAAACAAAAAAATCCATAAAAGCTTCCCTTAGCTTACGTGTGCTCCTCTAGTTTGCTGGCCCTTTCTGCTGCACTGCTTCGAAAACTTAGAGATGAAAATGAGAGGAAACAAAGATCTGAGAAAGGAAAAGTATGAGGAGAGGGGTGTAGGGATGCGATGGGAGAGAATTTTTCAGTTTGCTGGAGCAGCGAGAAAACTGTATCCTCTCCAAAACAAATGCAAGCAGGCAGAGCAGAGGGAAGGCAAATGGGAATGGTAAGGAAGAGTGGAGAGGATAAGGAGACTTTTGCTGGTGAGAGGAAATAGGTGCAGTATCCCTCCTGCCTTTCTGAGGGTAGAAAACATACCATGCCATTTTTGCCAGGCTTAGTGACTGACTCACTTCTTTTTGTAAAAACGCAAGGTGAAGACTACAGCAGAGTTGCACAACAAGCAGACTCAAAATTTCTTTCAAAATAAATACCACGTTACGCTTATGTGTTGGGCCAAATGGCACAACTGATGATGATGAGCCATTAGGATATGTTGAAGCTTGTTGACTTGATTTTCATTTATTTAGATCAGAATATTACATAGGAATTGTGTTGAATTCAGTGTAAACCTAACATGATATCATAGGAATTTTTATTAGGTATGACTGGGCAAAAGTTGTTCTATACAAAAGTTTGCACAAATGAATGGAATGGGAATGTGGTCTCAGATTTTTGGATCCCACTGTATATGAGCACCATACACAGAATCAATATTCTAGTTTCATGCCCTGGACCTGTTTTAGTAAGTGGTTAACTTGAAAAGTTGCTTTACATCTGTGTGACTTCCAGAAGACAGGGAGCATCTTCTGGACCAATGTGAACCAGGATCCAGGTCCATTAATGGACAATCAGTCAGTGCTCATAGGTTTCAGTTTCAGTTTCTGTTTTCCTCACAGGCTCCTATCTGTAGGTTGAGTATGCCTGCCTTAGTTTTGTTTCAGTACTGAGAGACATTTCCAACTTGAATGAGATCTTGATAACCGTTTTTAAACTTCAGGTGTGTTGATTGATAAGAGAAATGGTGGCAAATTTAGCTAAGGAGCATGCATTGCTGTAAAAAGACAAGATAAAGAAGTTTATCATGGGCAAAAAAAATTGTTAAACATTATTTTTAACTTGTTTTGTTTTTTTAGTTGTCCCTACATCATTATTGGACAATGGACAGTATGTGTTTGACAGCCTGCTAATTGGTAGTGTGAAAGTAGATGAGCACAACATCTCCACATACGAATCCAAATGGAATCGCTCCATACAGAATACAGCAGGTTAGTGTGAATGTGCCACCCTCCACAATATCAGGCACCATGAAGACATTTCTGCGTAAATGAGACCGTAAGGGAAAAAGGTGCAGAATAACAGAAGCTGTCTTCTAGTATATGAACATTTTTACAGCAACCAGGAACAACACCAGGTGACTGTTTGAGGAGGCTGCTTGCAGAATAATAAAAAAAAAAGTTATTGGTCAATTCCTCTTCATTAGCTCACCTGTAATGTCACAAGAACTACTACAAAAAAAATCTTGCCAAGTGAGGAATTTCTCACTTTGCTGCCTGTAGCTATGCGACTAACCAATTGATACTGCCCAAGAAGTGCCAAGCATATCACCAATTTGTAAGCGGCTTCTTCATTTTAGTCTTCACTGCAAGATGAGTCAAACATTGATGGTGCAGTGTCAAAAAAGTGTTCCCTATCAGGCAGGTTTTCACAGATTCTCTGTCACAGCTTACAGTGAGAAGTCAAGATGCCGACAGCAGAACCTCAGTGGTCTCTCTCTCTCTCTCTGACATAATTCACTATTACTAACTCATCCACTCCCTTAATCACTCACATTAATACCATACATCCAAACAAAAATGCATGTGAACATTATGTAAAGAGGATCTCCCTCTCTCTCTCTCTTTCTCCTTGGGACGCCCTTCTCCCTCTGCTCCAACGATTACTACTGAGACTGGCACAGCAGGTGGTTGACAGTGATGAGATGTGTGTGGAAATGCATATTCCTGTGTGTGTCAGCAATGATGCACTTCCATTAGTAACAAAGGCTCATATCTCTAACCTAAGATTTCACATTTGATGGTACAATGATTAAGAGACAAAACCAGATACAGCGCATGGATAAATGTGCATGCAGTAATGGTACATCCTTAAAAAACAAATCTGGATTAACATATATGGTATCTCCAGAGGCACAGTGCCAGTGTTTCAGAGACAACTTCAAGCAAAAAACTAAAATAAAATAAATGAACTTAAAATGAATCGACAGCGGTGATATACTACCAACATGTTCCTGATAATGTGGAAGAAACAACTGGACTTTTCACACTTTCCCTGTAAAATGATTGACCTTCATTATTGAAGATAACAACAGCTGCAGCAATATTAAAATAACAATTAGAAATTGAACTTAACTGTCTAAACCTCCAGCAATTAAATCACTAGCTAATTGGCCATTCACTGCAGCTTATCAATACATCATTAGAGCAGTGAGACCAAAAAACTTCACATCATTCACATTTACCACTAAGGTCAACAGACATCTTGCACTTCATTTCAGAAACTAATCACTTTCCAACAACCACACTTAAGAGCTTTAAAAATGCAAAAAGCAGACAGCAATGCCAGGTGGACTCAAAGAGGGAAAAACAAACTCAGATTCAGACCTTGTTGGCTTTCTTTCAAAGGGGAATGAGTCAGTTCATAGTGCCCATGTCTGCAAAAAAAAAAAAAAAAAATGCTGACGACTTGCTGTAAAAGTTTACTTCAATGCCTTAGAAAGGACCATGTGGAAAAACACTCTTAACTGCTTTATAACAAATGTACATGCACGATTTACTACTGGAGCTAGTGTGTATGTTTGCAGAGTTGTGTGTAAGGGCTAGATCGTGCTTCCGAAAAGAAAATATTTCTCAGTAAGTAAAAGAAAAAGAGGGGGAGACAGAAACAGACAGACGAGAAGAAAACCAGCCAGCTACAGACACCAGGAGGCAAAGGGTTAAACAAGACCCCATCGTATTTTCATGCATCTTCTGCTTTTGACAGATGAAAAATGTCAACTGTCCTGTTTGTATTTGGGAGTTTTTGCACTATTCATCTGCTTCATTAGTGCCTGCTGCTCCTAGCCCCTGACAGCTGCCGGCCCCCTGCTCTCTCTCTCTCTCACACACACACACACACACATATATATGTACACACATACACATATACAAGCGTAAAGACGCATGCCCCCCCAGCCACACACACACTCCTTTTTTTCAGACTGTGTCGTCGCAGTGGGTTAGATGATTGACTCACTCTCTGACCTCTGAGTCCCTGGTGTGTGAATGTGAGACTGTGTGTGTGTCTGTGTGTGTATGGTTCATTGATATTCGAAAGACATACAATGCACACGCATGCCTGCTGTCTGTCTGAGGGGTGTGAGCTGCTGGTGGCAGAACACACGCACATCCTCACAAGCACACGCGCGCGCGCACGCACGCACGCGCGCACACACACACACACGCACACACACACACACACACACACACACACACACACACACACACACACACACACACACACACACACACACACACACACACCTTTGTTCCTCAGCTCATCTTCAGCTGGCCAGGTTGTGCCCTCCTCAGCCCAGGCATGTAAAGCCAGCATATCTCTCCGTGTAAAATGTCTGGATGGGGTCTTCCAGTTTAATTAACACTGATCCAGCTCTCTCTCTCTCTCTTTCTCTCTCTCTCTCTCTCTCTCTCTCTCTCTCTCTCCAGTTTCTCTCCCTGTACACCAATTAAAAAGAGCTGCGAGAGGCTCTCGTCTTCTCCCTCTACTCCCCCCCCCTTTATCCCTGGAGCCCTGCAGCCTGGGACCAAAGGGCTTCTCACAAGTTCTCACTTACTCATTTATAAACATACATACAATTATAGGCATATGCCACATCAAAATAAACACCTAAATGTTAATACACACAAGCAAAACACATGTATATTTTGTATATTTACTCTCTTGCTCTCTCTCTTTCTCTCACTCACTCTCACACACTCACACACACACACACACACTCTCACACACTCTCACACACACACTCTCACACACACACTCTCTCACACACACACACACACACACACACACACACACACACACACACACACACACACACACACACACACACACACACAAAACTGTAAAAGTGAGGAAAGCATGACTTTTTTATGTTCTCACTGGCCCTTCATGTGGCTTTATGATGATATATTAATCAAGGCAATAAGTCACAGCGTAGGGACAGTCATTAAAAATATACCTACACCCAGTGGAGTCATCACCCCTCTATTTCAACACACTAAAAAGGGAAGAAGGAATGAAGAAAAGGCAAGAAGAAGAAGAACAGACACATGAGCTTAAAGAGCAAGATTGTTCCAGGGAGCTGAACTTTTGAGGAAAACTGACAAAAAGTGTGTTGTAATGTCCCTATCTAAACTGAATGTTGGTATTTGAAGTGTGAAATCTAAAGGAAAAATTTATCATGTTGGGAAATATGCTTATGAGTTAAGTGATTGAAAGATTGATATCGGTCTATCTGTCAGTTAAATATGAAGCTACCTAGCTAGCTAAAGTAGGGGTAAACAGCTCCATCCAAAGGTAACCAAGTCTGTCTACCAGCCCCTGTAAATTTCACTAATTAAAACAAACTGCAAATTTGATAATTTCTGGTTATTAGTTTCATATTTAATGGACAGATATGAGAGTGGTCTTGGTCGTCTCATTTAACTCCCAGCAAGAGGTCAAAGAAGTGTGTTTTCCAGAATATCAAAGTATACCTTCAAATAGTCTGCCAACTTTTGAGTTTGAAGATTTTAAGAAACGGTCATGAAATGAGCTTAGAAAGTTTTCAATTGAGTTGAATGTTCTATTGCTAAATGTTATTAATGCTTTAAGCAGAAAATAAGAATTTCTTTAGGGTAAGAAGGAGAGTGTGGATAAATAAGACAGGTTAGGGTTCAACAAATGTATCGAATGGTAAAAAGATCTGCGATACTGTCCACAAATGGGCTAGGTATTCTATTGGATATGTCACAGCCAGACACTGGAATTGGTATAAGACACGTGTGTTAACGTGTCAAAAAAAGAGCCACACAGTATGAAAAAGGTTTAAGGATACTCAGTCTCTGTTTGCAAGATCCTCACTTTCAAAAACATATAGCGAGCTAGCCACAGGGGCAACTCATCACATGCAAATGCCAGCTGCTGAGAACCCTGCATTTTTGGGCCTCATAAAACCAACAGCAAAACAAGAGGGGAGGGACAGGAGTGAGGCAGGAAGCACGAGACATGGGCACAGTCAGAGGTATGGATGGCTGAGCTCCATACAGGAAGGAGACACATTCCTGTAAAGTTTTTCAATATATTCTCCTCCTCTGCTAACCTTTATACAACCACAACACATCTGTACAAGCAGGAGACCAAGAGTGTGTGTGTGTAAAATGCATCTTTTTATACAGAGCACAGTACGTGAGAATTACTCATGCAAATATGAGGTGGTTTTCTCTGTGAGAAAAAGGAGAGAGCACTAGGAGACTGCGATCTCATTGAGTGGCATGTGACCAAACCCCTTCGTTACTTTCCAGGTCGCCGTAGGAGACAACCCTGATGAGTGCGGCATCCCTGTTTACCACAGTGAGGGGGTTTAGGTGAGGGGGCACAGAGCAGGGTCAGGGGATGTAATGAGTTTGGACGCGAGGAGAAAGGGATCAAACAGAATGGGAGATGAAGATAGACGCAGATACAATGACCAGGTATTGACAGAGGGGCCCTTCGGACCCTAACCCAACCCCAAGGCACGAGAATGAAAAATGCAGGTTCTCTCAAATGGAGCAGTTTCACACATAAGGAACCAAACTCCCTTGGATACAAGCACACATAATCATGATTGCACACACACAAACCTCAACACACAAAACCTCAGCCCCTACTGTATGTCCAGAGCGAAATCAATGAGCACCAAAGGGATGAGGCGTGGATTTCTATGTGAATTTCTTATGCCTGAAGGTTAAGTGAGGAAAAGGGAGGCAAGCAGAGGGGAACATTGCAGAGGGGAGGAGAACAGAGCAAAGAGAAGTGAAGGAGAGTTTGGGAGAGAAAGAGGTAAGTTTCCTGACACCAAATGTACTGTGGAGCCCTCTTACCAAGAAGTTGGAAGGCAAGGGTCTGTTCTTCAAAGAGAATATGCATGACGTGGTGAGCACTCCTCTGGTAACAATAAGGCTGTAAAATCTTTATCTCCACAGGCTGCTTGCATGGCTCACCTTGACCTGATGGTTGGGAGTTCTGTCTCTGCTCTAGTACCTGCAGTACTTTCTCTCTGAATGAACACCACCCCCCTTTCTCTTCGCTCCAGCAATCTATAACCCTGCTCTCGCTATTTGTTATTTCCCCCTTCCATTTCTCCCCCTCTGCTCTCGCCTTCTCTCTAGCCTTCTATCTCCTCTTTCCATTCGGTCTCTCTTAAGACTTGCACTGCCTATGCCCTTACCCTTCTCTAGCTTCCTATACTGTACCTATATACAGTAGATTCCTAAACTTTTTCACCTTATATCTTTATTCCCTGTCTTTTGACCTCCTCTGGGAGCAATAGGTCTCCCTTTTTCTTTTCACTTTTGCTCTCTAGCTCTCTCCTTCCCTCTCCTCATCTCTGGTCCCCATCTTGTTTCTCAGTGTTTAGTCTAGACTGTGACCCCTAGCAGTTCTCCTAAGGGTGAAAGCTATAAAAGATCAATGTGCTGCACCCCAACTGAAACTGTGAAACAATCAATGCTCAGGCTGCACATGCAGTACTATGACAATTTCAAAATGAACACCTTCCTTAGATAAATATTCAAAGAATTTAGAAAACGTCACTATGGACAGAATCTTCAATTACAACCAAGCCAATAGTTTGATGTTTAAAAAATCTCAAGAATGTAGAAATTTTGTGAATGCGTAAACACTGTGTCCAAATGTATGGAAATTGATATCACCGTTAGTTTATAACTACATCTTGATCAAAATACCTAAGCCTGACTCAATGAAATCTAAGTCCGACTCATGCTAACAAAATGAACCACACCAAAATGACCTTAATCAAACAAAACTGTTCAGTGCTTGTGTGGTTATGCAATTGTGATACCTACAGAAACTATGCAATAGGAGCAATAAAACCCAGCAATCTGTTTTTTATTAACAGTAAAAGTAGCATCTTCTGTGTAAACACACACATACATCAGACATAAAAAGTAAAAAAACAGAATGTGACCTACAGCCCCCACTGCTCTCAGCCAACCACAGCCGCACATTACCCCAGTGCATTGTGGGGAACTAATTAGCATGAAGGACTGTGGTCTCTGAGCAACCATGACCTGCAAGCTGAGTTGAAACTTCTTCCTTGCGTTATCTCCACCTCTATGCCTGAGGCAATGTAGAGAAGGTGCAGTCACTGGTGCGTTGAAATGCAGCCCAAGTGATCAGCAACTCAGGGGAGTTAGGAGAGAGGAGGGGAGGGAACTGTGAGCGTTTCCTTGGCCAACAGTGTGTCTGAATTTGTGCCTGTCTGTTTGTATTCGGTGCACGTGAAGGTTGGCAAGGTGAAAAATCAGATTGACTGCTATCACTCATGTCTATCATTGTTCTGCTCCCCACTCTTTCCTCTTTGTTCCCTCTCCTCCCGGGGTTGTCTCCACTCAGTGTGGTCTACAGCCCTGTGGTGTTTTGCTCCTGACTAATCAAACTAGTCAGTGTCACTGGGCGGCTTTATCTAAAACACATGGGCATGTCAGTTCCCTTCACTCACCAGCTTTGCAACATTTAGCAGGTTCCTTGGCTAAAGGACTTTAACTCAGAGTCTTAAGGCTTCAGCTCAGCCAAGCCACAGGGAGAGAAGTGAGTGGCACGAGGTATAAGAGGTAAAGAAATATGACCATTTACATACCATTTACATTTATAATTAATCTGTAGTAAAAGAGTGGGCAGTTATAGTTTGCATGTCTAGTGAGACTCATTGTTAATACAGCATCAAAATGTGGGTAAGTATAATTATTTGTATATATTTTCTTACAGTACTTTATTATAAGTGGGATTGAGGATGGCTTGTTTGTTCATGTGTGTGTCTAAGCCATTGTGTTCTCACGTCACTCCCACAGTCGACTGCAGGGTGACAGTGTGTGCACATATTCCCATAGTTTACCTCGTAGAGCAGGCATCCTAGCGACCAGATGTCAGATTTGAAGTTGTATCCGTTTTCATGTATCCTCTCCGGTGACATGTAGTAAGGAGTACCCACTGGAACACGGGAGGGGGGGGGCAGAAGGAGATAGACAGAGGCAGAAATGAGAACAGGACAAAAAGAGAGAGTGAGTGCTAACATTTTGCATTGCAAACCCATGCTTCCCCAGTTCATCAACATCACTGACACAGTACAGAGAAACAGGTGGGGAATGGAGGTGTTGACTCAAACTGTGACACATTCAGAGGTTGCAATACTCACCATATTTTAGCAAGAGCACAGAAAAGAAAAATACAGGGAGACTTAAAAGTGGACTGCCTCTGTTAATTCTAAGTAAGATGATATTTAATAAGGTTAGATATCATCATGTAAGCCCATACAGTGAATGCAATTGTGTAGGTACCACAAAGTTGCATACATATGCACAGCAGACATACTCGCGCACACAAAATATACATGAATCAGTTTTGATTAGTGGGGTTTGGTAATGATCTGAAACAGTAGTCAGTGAATACGCCCAGGGAGCAGTGGCGGAGCCTTAAAAGTTGGCCAGTTCCTGGTTCTGCTTTTGAAACTCAAGAATCACAAACTGCCATGGGGACTGGCAGACCTCCAAAGAATCAGATCTTCACCCAACTGGGCACAAAGAGGAACCACAGCTCAACATCACATCCATAACACACTGCAGGAAGCTTTGGAGATTTGCTGCTTTCTTAGCTGAATATGACTGGCTGCTTTTTTTCATTAGCTTTCTGTTTATTATGATTTCCCATGTAAAAGTCTATCAAGCACATCCAGCAGAGGTTTCATATTAATCACATATGGTTAAAGGATGGAAATTTTACCAGGCCTCTTTAACCTCTCCTCGTTCCAAATCTTCTCTAGCAAATGTGTGAATGAAAGGCTTACTGAAATATGAAGACGACAGCTACACAGGCTCCTCCATCAGTAGCACTGCTGCATATGACTGTGTGTAGTCTGTTTGTAGCTTGTGCTTTAAATGTCAAAATAATCAACACCGTCTTGCTTTCCTCTTGGGACACATGCTGATTATTAATCTTAAATATTGAAATAATTAATTATTATATTTAATAATTATATTTAAACTGTTTAAGTGACATTAACTGAATTCCAAGTCTTAATACTTTCATGTGCTTCTTGTTTGAAATACAGTGCGACTAGTGTTCTCTAAACGGGCCGTGTCCAGTTCTGCATCATGGGGGAGTTTTCAGGTTCTTAGTCCAATCAAACATCACAGCTAATTTTGCTTCCTTCCTCTAAAGTTGAGAGTGTAAACATTAACGAAGGGCTTGTGTTTTTCTTTTCTTTTTTTTTCAAACAGTCTTCCCCCTATACTCAATGTGCAGGAATGAGGAAGAGTTTTTATAGAGGGCAACTGGTAGTTGTTGAGTGTAAAATACACACAAACAGTTGAAGTGAGCTAGGTAGGTTAGAACAGCTCTCAAATGGAAAGAACCCAGGAGAAAAAGTTGGCTTGCTCCTGCAAGGAAGGAAAAAGCCAGAACTGCACACTCGCACACTGTACCCGTGTACTCACATGTGCGAGCAATCACACACACAGGCGCGCACACATACACACACACAAACTCTCCAGAGCCATTCTGCACATTAACAGGTCGGAGGAAACTCAACTGATGTAATTGCAATTAATAAAACTATTACAGAGGGGGATATTAGATTTGAAGTCTATGGGAACTGTAATGAAAGCTAGCACTTTTAATTTTGGTGCACATCTAATTGGGTTGAGAAAACACGCTTTTATCTTAAATGTGCGGTTTTGAATAATGAAGTGTTACCTGTCATTCCAAAAATAATCAGCATCTGCACAGGCAGAAGCAAGAGAGAGCACGTAGAAGAATAAACAGGGGACTAGGGATTGCTGTTTTAATTGGTCATCAGGTTGGTACTGTGGTTTGTGTGTGTGTGTGTGTGTGTGTGTGTGTGTGTGTGTGTGTGTGTGTGTGTGTGTGTGTGTGTGTGTGTGTGAGCTGTGAGGTCTCATGGTGCGGTCTGAACAAGCTCCCCTAACATTCATTATTAGTTGATTAAAAAGAATCAGCCTCTCTTATGCTAATAGTTGCATAAAAAAAGGCAGCAGCGCTGGGCCCAGGCTCCTTCAGCATGCTAAATTAAGGGCACATTACTTATTCATGCAAATAAATTGAAAGTCATGTTGGGATTGATTTCCATTATTGTGAATGGCTATGACAACACTTTATTCTCTGTGTAACAGGGTAAGCGTTGTTGTATAGGAGGTGAGATGCTATCCAGCATAAAGAGCCCTCTTCTAAGCCCCTGCTGAATGTGCCATAAAATGAACCCAAACCTGTGTCTTTTTAATACATTTATTGATTTGATTGCACAGACTTGGCGCAATTTCGTTTAAACCTAAAGCTTTAAACGGACCTTTTAAATGCAGTGAAGTATTTCTTGGAGAGTAACCATTAATGGTGTAAGCCTTCTCTAATCTGTGCTATTACCAGTTTTATATTTCTGTGTTTAAAACAGGGAATGAGATTGTAATGGAATCTCAAAGGATATGATTGAATTTCTCATTCAGAGCAAGGGCAGGATTTTGGAAACCGCCGCTCTATTGTGTTTTAAGACCAAAGACGTAAACTTCTAGGTAGGAGCATAGCCAGAATGGACTTGATCTCATAGTTAGAGGGCATTCTCTGTATTCCCTTATATTCCCACTATGTTTTGCAAGGTTTTCTATAGGATCTTGCTGAGCCCTCACCCCCTATTTGGCTCTCTGCCTACCCCTCTTTGTTTCACAACTCGCTTGCTTGCCTTTATAAGATAACCAAGTCTTTATGTATACGTTGAAACAGTCAGTTATTTCCAACATCAGCCTCTCCAAGGTCTTGCTGCTTCGATCTTGTTCGCTATTTCTTTCTTTTCCTTTTCCTCTCTTTCCCCTAGTACTCATCGTTAACACCTTTCTCATTACAGGTGTTAATTGCAGGTATATTATACTACTTATTACTGCCAATTGGCTAGTCTCTCATTCCTCTAATGATTGCATCAGCTTTCCTCATACTACCGTTCTTTTGTTCTTTTTCTCTTTAATTCAACTCTTGCCATAACCCTGCATACCCATCCTCAGCACTGGAAAGCAGACAGTGTGTAGTAGTAGGTGTCTTTTGCATGCCTGTGTGTATTTTTGTCTTATGTCCCAGAGCATGGATAGATATGTGGCGTGTGTGTGTGTGCATGCGTGTGTATGCATTCAGGCCCGTATGGATGTGTATGTGCGTCTCGACTTACATCTGTATAGGAGACAAAGAGTCTGTGTCTCTTAGTGTGTGCAAAAGTGTGTAAGAGACAAAAAAACTGTGTGCGCGTGCATGTGTGCGTGTGTGTGTGTGTGTGTGTGTGTGACTGCAGGCTGCTGAGCAGCTGAGTTGAAAGCCTAGCCTGACAGGCTGTATGCCTGGACCTCCATCTCAGCTCCACCACCCTGCTCTTCTGTTCAGCTGGGTGGCTCGCCTCATTACAGACCCAGGCTGGCACGCGATTGGACGTGCGAGCACACACGCGCGCACACACATGCATATACATACAGAGCTCTTCCTCATATTTCTTTCTATCCCTCTCTCTCTCACTCTTGCTTTCCTTTTTCTCCTCCATTTTTTCTGTCACATTGTCATATTCTCTCCTCTTACTCTGCTCCTCCGAACTTTTTTCTTTCTCTTCGCTTTCTTTTTTTCTCCTCTTTTTTTATGTCACTCTGTCACATTCTCTTCTCTCGCACCTGGCACACTCTGCCTTTCTTTTTCTGTTTCTTTGTCACCCATTCTTCTATTTCTTATGCTCCTTTCTTTATCTGACATATTGCTTTCTCCTCCTTCTCTTCTCACTGTGTGTGCCATCTTCTATTCTCTCTCTCTGTCTCTCTCTCTCTCTCTCTCTCTCTGTCTCTCTCTCTCTCTCTCTTTCTCTCTGGCTAAAAGTCAAGACACCAGAGGGAGGGACAGAGGGAAGGGGAAGTGAGGATGAGCAAGATAGAGAAACAGCAGCAGGAAAGAAGGAGAGGTGACAAAGAAATAAAGAGAGGAGATCTGCTGTTTGAAACAAACCGCATGAAATGTCAAGGGGAAAGGCAGTGACAGAGGGTGGAAGAATGACGCACTCTGAATCCCTTGTCGACAGGTCATGCTAACCTGGGGACATCATCACTTTCTACAGTACAAGATCCTCTAGTGAAAACATTCTACCGACATCCTGATACAGTTATAATATTCTTAAAAGGATATAAAGTACTGTGTTCTCATAAGCACAAATAAAATGGATCTTTAAAAAATTCAAAAATATTTCATATGCTTACACAACATGCTTATTTGTGCTTATGATCTCACGGTGAATGTAATTGTTCTTAAATCAAATGTATCTATGCAAAAAGAGAATACACATGACAAGTATTCACTCTGTGCTGGAAGAAATATTACACTGTGATCTGTGTAGATAAACAGAGCAGTTTTGATTGCTTTGGGTTAATGACTGGCGTATCCCAGTTGACCCCTCTGCTTGTGGGGCTGCCTATCCTCTGTCAGCCTAAAGAGGGTGCTGTGGACTCAACGTTTAATGAGCAATCACAGACGCTCTCACCCTGCTCTGCTTGCAATGCAGGCTGCTTAGTTGATAGGGCTTCTGTTGACCTGATCATGTGATTCACACTTTCTCAAAGGCTGGGCGGCTGCTGTACAGGGGTGGAGAATAGCGTGCTGTTTGTGGTAATAACAGCTTGATATAGGGAAGTGAGACAGTGCGAATGACAGCATTTATATTTGTCTTTTTTTTTTTCTTTTTTTTTTTTACATTTTCCAATCTATGAAGCAGCTAAACTTGCAAATGGGATGTTGGATAGCACATTTGCTTAACTCAATAGGCTCAATAAGTAGAAACCAGTGTAACTACCTCCACCACAATGATCTGTAGTGACCACATTTTATTGTATAATACTAGACATTCAACTGCTTAGTACATTGCTAGTGAAATTAAGATATTAATTTCAAAACTATTAATTTTATCATTATGTAATTTGTACTGTGTTATTAAGATAAAATTAGTTAACATACAGCAGGCAACAAGAAATCCCTGCTTGATTCTGTGTTTGTGCTGTTGCTAAAGTTCAACCAAATTAGAAATGAGGGAAATGACTTGTTAGATTGAACAGAAAGTTTTTCTTACCAATGACAGTTACCCAGTTCTTGCAATAATTTTTGTTGTCTTTATTTACCTTAGGCAGAATTTATTTTACAATTCTACAGTCCAGAAGCATGTTTCTTTTAGACTTAACAGGTACTCAGTGATAATACTCTGCTTGTGTGTTGACATTTTTCACTGACACTGCTATCAAGAACAGTCTTCAGGATATGCTGTCCTCGTTCTCAAGACATGGTGGTGGCTTAAAGATTACACCTTCAACAATGTCTTAATTTAATGTCTTGAACAGTAAATTACAAAGGACAGAAGACACCATTTAATGATAACAAATATTAGAATTTTAAGTTTTAGTGTTTTTTGATTCATTTCTCACTTCCAGTTCATAAGAAAATATCCATCATGCTCTGACTCTTACATGACTTTGCAGCATATGCTCCATTATGTTAATCACCAAAAAGGTGCAGGAAATACAGCACAATGGGAAGGGCTGGTAGGTACAGACTGTTAACAAATTGTTAAGAGGTGAGCTTGTGTTTTAAACACTACGACACCCTTGAAGTGAGGTAGATGTGTGTATGTGAGTGTATGTATTTGTGTTAAAACCAGTGCCTCTTGAAAAGTGACATAAGCTACAGTTTTTTTTACTGACAAGACAAAGCTTGAAGTGCTAGAAATGTCTCTATCTATTCTTTTTGAAATCCAGAATTATTGAAATGTTATTTCACTATGTTCTTGAGGTTACCGGCTTGACTCCTAAAGATTTACAAAGTAATTCCCATGGTCATTAAAACACCCTTGGCATTAAAGAATAAAGAATGAACATGTGGAACCATTCCATTTGTCAATTCATACAGTCTCAAGTTTAGCACACTTTTTTTTTGTTCATCTCAATTATTGTGGCAATTCTGGGCCACAATTCTCACTATTTTTGAAATGAAATGAAAAAAAGAGTGTTATATGATTTTATTTCCTACAAGTGACAAACACACCCATCAATGCCAACAATAACCCTGATTGTAAAGTTGGCTTGCTTGTTTTATGGCACACAGTCACAATCAGAGCTGTGTTTCGACCGACTCTGCCCAGTTTTCATCTGTGTTAGGGTTAAAGGTCAAGGCAACAGGAAGTGGCTAAGTGGCCTATGAAGAGGCTGGGCACAGCCGTGGCCAGGCAGCATGACTACATGACACATGGCTCTGGGCTCAACATGCCTAATGAAACACATCCAACATTGGGTGATTACTGGGGGCCACTGTGTGTGTGTGTGTGTGTGTGTGTGTGTGTGTGTGTGTGTGTGTGTCGTAGACTTGTAAATTACCTAGCGAATGAGCGGCGGTTGTTTTGGAGCTGAAGAATCGTCCCAGTCCCAAGTCTCCTAGTTTCACTACTCCTGTGGCTGTGATGAATACATTGGCTGGCTTGATATCTGGAGATGAAAAAATGTAGAGAGGAGTCAGAAAAAGTGAAAAAGAGAGGAGAGGGTATTTATGAACTGGTTGAATTTAACTCAGACTCACTGTTTCAATAGTTAATATGAATGCTATATGAGTAACATAGAAATTAAGAAGCAACCTGTGGTAGGAATGTATGATGATAAACAAAAGACTGCATGTCCTCTTTGCCCAGAAAACTGAGAGCATTACAGACATATTGTCTATTATTGAAAATATTCATTTCAGTTAATGTGGGCATTAGAAAACCATTTGTGTTGCTTTTTCTAGTAAGTAAGTAACGTTAATGTGACCCGCATCAGCCTTTGAAATTTACTGCTCCCGTATAATTGTAAGCGGCTTTTGAATAGGCGGTCTCTGTTAAGTGGTCGTTAAAACGCAGAGCTCAGGGTTCATTAGTGTCCCTGTGCCCTAATCAGAGTCAGTCCAACGGAAGTACATCACCTGTAGATGTGTATGTGAGTGCAGCAGCCTATGTACATGAATCCAGGACTTGATTTGACTGGGCCCTATTGAAAGCATGTGGGGCCATAAACACTGTGTTCTCTGGTCTATGTGTTGTTTAGCACCTACACTTAAGCCTTCTGTCATATGCAACAAGAGCCTTCACACTAAAGAAAATCCATAGTGAAATACTGATTTAATGTTCCGTTTTCACTCATTTTCATTTTCTGGACCACACTAAGTATTGCATGGTTTACTCTGTTAAGTAGGAGTTGTGTATTATCTTAATAACGGCAAACAAATATACTGCAACTTCTTGAATTTAATTTCCCTCTTAACAGACATCAACTGGTTTCAGTTCAATTTATTATGCTATTAAAAATTAACACACAGAGACTTAAATTATGGGAGACAGATAATCCATCACACCAAACAACTTGTTCCCCTCAGTTTTTGTTCTCCTGTTTAAGGCCCAGCACCCACTAGACAATGGGACCAGTCCCAGAAAAGTGGCAGGAAAATTCTTATCACCCTCGTGCTGAAAAAAGATCAACGCACAGCAATACTTTTGAACATGTATGATCATTTTTGTTGGGGTTGGTTCACGGTTCAGTGATTTTTTTTTTTAAAGAAATACAATGCACAGTGTATTTTCGTGTGATAATTTAAGAGTCCTTAATTGGACAAACGCTTTGAGAAATTAACCACGTTAGAACAGATGTGAGCAGTTGCAGCATTTGTACAAGTTTCTCCAACTTGTTTCCATCATCCAGTACTTCTCTAAAACTATCTCAGACCATTCATGGTGGCTCAATTTAGAAGAACAAACTGGTCCAGATTTAAAAGATTCTATATATTCTATAGCTACATTTTCTTATACTTACAATAAACAAGCCAATTCCATCTATGTATTAATATGCCTGTTGGTGTATGTTTATGTACAGTGTGTGTGCATTAATACTACCTCTGTGCATGACTCTTCGGGAGTGCATATGTTCGAGCGCACTGCAGAGTTGGACAAAGTACTTCCACACTGTTCTCTCTGGGATAAGCCTCCTCTGCTTCTTAAAGTGCTGTAAAGTAAATGCAAGCACACACACATGTACACAGGGACACAGGAACACACACAGAAAATTAAAGTAGCATTAGCATACCTGAAAGAAGGAACACATAAAATATTTTAATAGGGATGGGAAAAGGTCTTGTGTGGCACGGAATACAATTTTAAGATGGTAGCAAAGTGTTTATGTCTGCGTGTGTTTATAAAGCATCCATCCCCGGCTTCAGTCCCTAGTTCTGTGACTCCACTCTTAATGCAACCCAGACCACTCGCCTCTTGGTCGGTCCCTTGCCTAACCAAGCTCCATCTCATTTTCTCTATGGGCTACAATGAAAAGCACATGCACTCTCAGGAACAGAGAGAAGAAATTTGTGGTACCTTCCAAAACTCTCCCATCTGGCACACAGCTCTTTTGTTAAGTACAGCTTTCAGTGGCACAGTGGTTCCAGTTGTTTTTCAGTTTATTTATTTATTTATTTATTTATTTTGGAGGGCTGAGTGAGTTGTTCTGGATCATCAAGACTCTGGTCCCTCTCCAGAAAAGCCACAGTGATGACAGAGCCTCAGCTTAGACATAATGGCTTATTGATCCACCATGACTAACATCAACAACTGATGATAGGAACTCCTCCTCAAATGGCGGTGTGTAAGACTAAGTAGATGTAAGAAATATGGCTACCAGGAGAATTTTATGGGATGTGCTCATGGGTCCATTTGCAGGAAAGAAAAGCCTCGACTTTCACCAGCTTGTATGAGAGTCCTTCACATGGCAATTACAATTTAAGCATTTAGCAAAGACTCTTACCTAGAAAAACTTAATAAAACCAACAGCACAGTAAGTGAACATTTCTAGGGTATCAACAAGAAGGTAGCTATATAAATCAGACTTATGAAATCAACAAGTGCTGCAATATTAATCAAGTTATTTACTTCACTGACAATAATTTAATATACAGTATTGATGGTATACTACAGGGTAACTGTCTATGTATGTGTGTATGCATGTATTTTTAAGATTTGTGACACTACAACTACTGTTGCTACAACTATCATTTTGAGAAAGTATGTGTGTGATTGTGTGTGCTGGAAGATATGCAGAGTCCTTGTGTGGAATCTCCTTTCCTCTTTTGCTGTTCCAACCTATCCTACCTCTCTCCAGGGTGTTCTCATAATGAGGCTGCAATATTTACTGCACTACATTAAGGTTGGGTATATAGTAGTAGGAATAGTAGGTTTATTTGCCAGAAAAACAGAATAACCCATTGTCTCCAGTGAGGTCAGGGGTCAAGGAGGAGAGAGGACAGGACTGCTACAAATTCTGGTCCATGAGCCTACTAAACAATGTGAGAAAGAACAAGGGAGAGAGAATGAGAGAAAACAAAGACAGAGAGGGAGATGGATGGGGTGAGAGCAAATAATGGAGAAAAGGAATGAAGTAAAGGAAACATTGTAGGTAAGAGGTACAGAAAATGAAGAAAGGTGTGAGAGAAAGAGCGATAGAGATAGATGCAGAGAGGGAGAAAGGGAGGGATAGACCTTGGCCTACATCCAAACAAAGCGTCAGTGAGGAGCCATTCTTCCCTTGCCCTCCCATTTCCATATCAGAGGACTGTTTGATGTCAATGGGGGAGCACATAGACGCCCACCAACACCACCACCACCCTCTTCTCCATGCCTTTAACAGCAAACACTGCACATGCAATATTCTGTAAGTGCATGCAAATCAAGGACCATTTGATTTCATTTGAATTCTGAGATGGTCAGAGAGAGAGTAATAGAGAATGAGGGAGGAAGAGAGAAAGGAGGAGAGAGCTGCATGGAAGAGGAAAAATCAAAAAGAATAAAAAATGTTAAATTCATGCATCGGGGGGGCGTTCTGTTTTACATATGGAACACTGTACGAATGTGTTTACTTCACATTACAGTCGAAGAAGTGGGGGCTAAGCCCTGGCATGCACCTCTGGACTGCCACTGTTACATTAGAAAAGCAAATCATTTAAAAGTGTGCGGGAGACAAATGGTGTAGAGGAGAGGCGTGTACATACGTGTATGTGTGAGTGTGTGTTGTCAGCAGCCATAAGGAGGAGACACATTCTGAATGCTCCCAGCATCCTCGGTAGCTTAGCTAAGATAGCAGTGATGCTCTGTGGTTTGTTATCTTACCTCTTCGGGCTGCCATGTTACATCTCTGTAAAGTGTTTCTGTGAACATGTGTGAGAGTGTGTTTCCATGGTTGTGTCTGCACATTCATTGCTTACCCAGTATGGCATATGTATGTATTCAGTGTGTGTACGTGTGTGTATCTGTACAGGATATATATCAGTGTGTGTATGTGTGTGTGCCGAGCCTGCCATGTTCACTCTCTTGTACCGCTAATCCTCGCCTCTCCTAATTTGCTGTGTTGAACTATGCGAATGTGGAGCTGCTGAGTATGACTGCAAACAGCTTGTCGAGCTGTGCCGATTCAATGCTGCGGCATCATTTATGCATGGGAGAAGACCAGGCTTTTTACATGCACACCACTAATTTGCTATACTGGCAGGTTTTTATAATAACTCAGGATTTGGTCTAACTCAAAAACGAATAACAGGGTGAGCCTGGGATGTAATCGCTTCCAACCCTCTTCCTTCTGCTGCTCCAATTTCAACAACAACATCCCAGCAGTAAAAACCTAATAGACTGAGATCAACTTGACACACCTATGTGGTTCAAAGCTACACATTATGCGCTTTATTCCACTATACACATGCTTATAGTTAAGTAGTTATAATCTACATTCAGTTTGAATGTTGATTTTACTGGTTAGAACCATTGAAATTACTACATCGCATTTCTGGGGAAGCTCTAGCCAAGATGAATTGGTGGGCAGATATTTTCCCAGACATGTGGCCAGTATTTGGGGAAAAATGACAATGTACATCTGGGAAAAAAACTATTAAAACCTCATGTTTTACCAAATCTCTCATTAAAATGTTACGGCAAATGACACCTCAAGATTTAATATGTAAAAGATATGAGGACAATTTAAGATTAAAGCCAGATAAGTTATGCTCAGTATTTGTTCACATACAACACATGCTGGAGCTTTATGATAATTAATCATAGTTTGATTTTTAACAACTTCCCTTTCACAGTCAAGGCACTTCACCACAGAGTACTGGGATTAAAGAAGGTTGCAGGAGGCCTTATATTATTGGGTTTTTGGTTTCATTGCGGAATGGATGATTCAGACTGACTCAGTGTCCAGGTAGTCAAAATCCTGCAACAACCACAAACCACAGACCCCCTGCCACCATTCCTTCAGTTACAAAAGGCCACGTCAGCAGCTTGTTGCTTCCATAATAGCATTACTTTCTGATAATAAGTGTGAGACAGGATGTTAGACCTGCCAGCATATTTGTCAGATATGGTTGTCATGTATTAAAATCAGTTATCTAATTATTCAACATCATATTAAAGTATTTTAAATTGGGTGGACTATTGCCAATCCAGGAGACTACATTTTTTGTGATCACTAAATCTGATTGCTGACTGGGTGTGAACATGTTGAGTATTAAAGTGAAGTGGTGTTAAGACAGGGTAAGTAAGGAAGTACATTTGCATAGATCACAAACAAATTCATTTCCACAAAAATAATTAGGGTCTTGTTAATAATTTGCACTTTCATTTATGCTCAAAGTTTTAAAATTTTTACAACTGCACATACAATCTGTAAAACCAAAGTTGGCCCCAGAATTTCCCCTTATAGTAGAATAAAATCTGATAAGCCAAATTATGGTATATTTTCATTTTTTTCATCTGTGTCCTTAAAGCCTGTTTTGGTTGAGTGTTACTCAAAGTTTTTCATAACCACACAAACAAATCAACAGCTCTTTGGGCTGCTTGAACAAGAGAGTGAGCTAGCAGGGCAGCTGTTGTGCTGAATTCCTTACCTTGATCATTCGTGAGAGGTCCCCAGCATCCGCTAACTCCAGGACTATGTTTAGCTCATTGTCCTCAATAAAAGATGCATGGTACTTTATCACATTGGGGTGGTTCAATTGCTGTGGGAGAAAAGAATATATGAGAGATAAAGAAAAAGCACAAGACATGTTGGTGACACTTGTCAAATTAAGAGTATCCTTGGTCACGCTACCTAACCCAAGAGTGAAAATCCTTCCTTGTGGAAGCTATAGACTATAGATATACAATCTATATCAAAAAAACCTACCAGCTGATAAATAACAAAATTAATGTCATGAGTTCTGCCATCAAATATACTTTCACCACCAATTAAAATAAAACAGTTGAATCCATATTTGCCATCCATATTTGGTAAGTGTGGACCTAATGAGACGGTTTTGTCCTCAAGTGTGACAAAGCTGGGTGACATGTCACAACAACCCCTCTGTCTGTGATGACAACAACCCATGTGTGAGACAAACACACCCACACGCACGCACACACACGCCTGACAGTCTGACATGACTGGCAGTCAGAAAAACAAGCATCCCAGGCTCATCTTTGGCTGAGATTCCTTCCTGTTGGCTGGTCAATAAGGCAGGAACAGCATTCCCTGTAGTAAGCAAAAAGTCTCTATCCATCCAGAGCAACAAGAGAAAAGGGGGAGGGAGGGAGGCGCAATGAAGGGAAAGAAACAAATGACACAGTGACACAGACAAGTAAAAGGAATGATGGAGACAGGGCAGGGTGAATAGGTAGGGAAAGAGAACAAAGGTGAGAAGGGGAAAAAAAGAGCAGGAGAGGGATAAGGTGAACAGAGTTAGAGAAAGGGGGGAGGGAAAAGGCAGAGAAATAGTGATATGTGGAGAGCTGGAGACATGGAGCTGTGTGGCGTGGCGATGTTGGGGGGGGGCTGTGATGCAAGCAGACGGAGCAGTGTGACAGGCGTCCTCCACTCGGCTCCGCTCTGCTTTCTCTGCTGTGATTAAAGAAATGTTCATGCTCTGGATGATGCAGAGAAGAGGGAAAAGGAGAGCACAGTACAGTACACTACGCTACACTACACTCTCCACTCCATCTCTGCATCCCTCCACAATCCTCTTTTTCATTCGTTCTCTCTTTCCCTTTCTCATGTCTCCATCTTTCCTTCACCCTGCCTTGCCCTCTCTTGCCAAATGTATTTTTGGCTGAGAGTGGCAGTTCTACACGGCTCCACACTGTAGCACAGCCAGGGAGTGATGACAAGTCCCCTCCTCCACCCATCCCAACCCACTCCACTTCCACAACTTGAACCTCAGGCGGAGGATACAGAGAAATGAAGAGATATGTTCACATGCAGATGTTTATGTAAATGATGGATGGGAGCCTACTGCAATACAACAATCACTCATTGGGAAATATCACATAGAGTCTTGCTTGATTATGTAATTACACATGCTGGCTGATACCCACCAGTGTGTGTAATCACTTAGTCATGCAAGACTATGTGGTGTATTTGGTGAGCTGGTGATGTGTTGCAAGGAAGAACAACACACTGACTAATTCAATCTGATGACACAAATTTAACCAGGATAATAAATTAGTTTATAGTGTAATGATAAAGCAGCTGAAGAAATGGGAACAATGGCTGAAAACTGAGGAAGATGCAGTAAAATCAGCTTCCGATGCCCATCACCAGCAGAAATGAATGCCTTGTGTTGCATGACATATTCATACTTTTCAATGCACTGAGTAAGAAAATGAGTAGATTCGTAATTTGGGGTTGTTTGTCAATTGGAAGAGAAACTAAATATATATTAAACTTGCAAAAGAAGTATATTGCTCATGAACAGACCTAAAGATTGTGAATTTATAGTGTGTGTATCAGGTTAAATGAAGCTGGTTGCTGCCAGTCCTCTGTCTTGTCAGTAAACCGCTGGTATAATCTAATCAGATGCAGAACCCAGACATGCACGCAGACACACACGCACCACACATTTCTGCACAACACATAACACAAAACACAGAGAAGCAAGCACACAGACATCATTACAGCTCTTCACTGCTAATTAGGGCAGATCATTAGTCTTCAGAATACAATCCAGTCTTGATAGTAACCACAAGCGAGAGGAATACACAGCTATGGGATTTCAAGAATGGTGAAACTAGCAGATTGGCAGGGAGCAGGCTATTTCTGCAACCAACATTCCTATCAGTGCAGATTTAGACAAAAGGACCGAGTGAGAAGTGAGATTCTCAAGTTGAAATCATCATGCCAGAAGAGGAAAATACAGATGAATGAGCAGACATAAACACAGACAGACAAACAAACAAATAGGCCGACTGTTGAAAGGCCATGACACTGTGTGTGTGTGTGTGTGTGTGTGTGTGTGTGTGTGTGTGTGTGTGTGTGTGTGTGTGTGTGGGTGTGCGTGTGTGTGTGTGTCCATGCACATGTATGTGTGTCATTCCAGTCGGTCCATGCCAGTGTGCCTCTCATTATTCTGATTTGGCTGTGTCTCCTGTTGGCCTGTCTAGTGGGGATAAGGCAGAAGGACTGTCTCTCTCTCATAGCCCTTTATTATTAGGCTGGCTGGGTAGCACAGGGCCAGGCATAACTTCCATGTTCACTAGCAATCAGTTTACAGGATGAAAAGAAGGGAACTAAAAGCTCTGAGGGGGGAAAAACAAGGAGAGGGAAAAGAAAAGGGATGGATGGAGCTACATAGCAACTGGGCAAATAAGGTATAGAAAGAAGAGATAGGTACAAGCAGAAGGGAAGGACACAAAAGAAAGGTATGGAGGAAGAGGATCCATATAGTGAGAGATGAAAAATGGAAACATAAGAGATGCATAAAGGAAATGAGAAATGTTGTCACCTGGCAGAGTGTGACATTTAACCCTACCCTGACCCCTCTTAGGAGGTCAGAGATATGGACCCAGGGGAACTCTGCTGTCTCGTGCCATCAAGTCAATGATCTGCTACTCAGATTACAGCTCTCTACAGGGTCTCGCCTGCATCTGAGTATTGTTGTCTTTGATTGGCCCAAAGAGCCCCAGGAGCTTTACTGAAGTGTTTGAGTGGCACAAATTAATTGGTTTTGTTTTCTTGTTCTCCCTAATGTGTACGTGTGAGCGTGCATATGTGCACAAACTGCCTGCAGTGCACACACACGCACACAGAGAGGCCGCATATATGGAGGGGAACACTACCAGGGATGCATGAATGCACACAATCAAACCGCAAACACACACAACTTTGACACATATCTACAATTTTGCAGACAGGGGGAAATATTGAAGCTGTCATTAGTTGTTCGTTAGTATTTGAGAGCAGCCCGGCTGACACACGTTTAAGGTAGTTTGATAAATGAAACCACTTCATTGGAAAATAAAAAAGTAAAAAAAGAATGAGGAAAGGGAGGAGGTAAAACATCAAGAGACACATGAGGGAGGCTGCTAAATTTCCATGCTGATGCTCTGTTGCCCAGCTTTAAACATTACAAAAAGATTAAAAAAACGATACTTTTGGCATAAAAAAAGAGTCAATGTGAGCCTGGGGGGATGTAACACTCCTGCACAATACACACGTACTGTACAGTCACACACACGTATTCATTCACTTTTTTTACTTGTGTTCACAAATACACAAACACCCTTCCGCATTCATAACCATGCAAGGCAGCATGCACACCCGTGCATGTGCCCACATACACACAACACACAAATCCAAGCTGTCTGGTGCAGATCAATTGTTTTCCTGTGGTGGAAGGTCTCAGCTGAGGCACCTTAAGAGAACAGAGCACAGCGCATGACGCCGTCTCACTCTTCTCTGGTTCTTTACCTTAAGGAGATCTATCTCTTTGATGCAATCTTGCCGAGCTTTGGCATCCATCAAGTCGAATATCTATCAAGAGATCAAAAGGGGGGAGAGAGAGAGAGAAAGAAAGAGAGAGGACAGAGAGGGGTGTTATGACATATTCAAGAAATGGGAAGATGGAGAGATGTAGAGAAAACAGGAAAAAAAACACTTAACAGAAAACATGGTTGCTGTTATCTAGAGGGTGGCGTTGGAGTGACTACAGGTGTTTCACATCTGAGTAACACGCACATATCACTGTGTAAGCTGTGTGTGGGGTGTGTGTATGTGGATACAAACTCAACTGGAGCAGCATACACTCCTAGTTTTGTGTATGTGTGTATAAGTCAGTGAATATTGCATGTACACATTCACCATGAGAACTGCAGTCACACTGTGAATGGAAATTAGCCTATTCACAGGCATACTGCACTTAATCACACAACAAAAAATACAATTAATGCATATTTTAAGTGCTTGCGTGTGGTAGTTCTGTGGTGGCGGTCCTCATTATCAGAGTGGTTAATAACAATTAGCAATCTTTAATTTAAAAAAACTGACAAAAAATATAAATCTCTTACTCTTTTCTTTAATTTTTCAGCATACTGACACATAGTTTATTTCAGACTCATGATGCTTTCTTTATGCTACAGCAGATTATCCGATCATTATTATCATCCGGCCAGCTGTGGCTCAGGAGGTAGAGCAGTTCGTCCACTAATTAGAAGGTCGGTGGTGGTTCAATCCCCGGCTTCTCCAGGCCGCATGTCGAAGTATTCTTGGGAAAGATACTGAACTCCACATTGCCCCTGATGTCAGTGTATAAGTTTGATGTATGAATGTGTGAGTGAATGGGTGAATGTGGCAAGTATTGTAAAGCGCTTTGAGTGGTCAGTAAGACTAGAAAAGCGCTATATAAGTACAAGTACATTTACCATTTACCATCCTGTCTGCACATGAGATACATTTCCCTGAGCTAAATTGCCTGTAATTGTTTGTGTTGGCCTTGTGACAGACTGAGGTTTTTGTTATCCATTCATGATGATAAAAAATCATTAGACACAAGAATAGTTTGACATTTCACTTCCGCTGAAAACGCTGGATGCACTTAGTATTCAAAGTGACTCATTTCCTGCGCCTTACTTGAACTTTCTTCAGGGCCACTGATGTGTTGTCTAGCAGGTACCTCGCCCGGTACACCTCACTGAACTGCCCACGACCAATCTTCTTCTCAATCTGGAAGTTAGCCAGTGAATTGTGGCCCATATCTGGCTGCAGTGGTTTCTGAAAGAAAAAAAAACAACAATTCTATAAACATCTACACACACACACATGTTCAAACTGCATATGCACACGCAGGATAGAAACAAAAAACAAATAATTTACAGACATTTTGTGCTAACCACGTTTTTGCCATTGAAGTGCAACTGCTCCACATTACTGAAAGAGCCAAAGGGTGAGGGCTGAAGGGTGTGGGTGAAACTGTGGTGAGGCCTAGCTTCTGTAGTTTGTTTTGCTGAGAGGCTGCTCTAGGCTTCTGATGATTTGACTGGCATTAGGCTGATGTGTCACGCTGTGAAAGGTCTTGAGGAATGTGTACAGATTTAACTGCAGCACCACATCACCTCACTAAAAGCTCATGGAGGAAAATACTTATTTTCTGTTATTTACATAGCTAACCAAAAAACACCTAGAGGTTTGCAAATGTTTTTCCTAATCAATTCAAGTGTAAACTTACAAGAAGTGAGTCAACAATTTACCTGATCTAACTTTTTACATGGAGTAGAACGGCATCACGCAGGGCCTGGCAGTGTCTTTTGGAGGTGGCTGCCATGCTGCCACCAGACATTAACTTTTGATTACTAGTTAGGAATCTTTTTTTTTTTTTTAATCAAATTTACTTTTATATCTGGAATGACAATGTTCCTATGTAATTAATTAAACCCTATACCTTACATCTGCTAGGCAGGCTAATAATTACCACTGGCTTAATGGGTGACACTCTGTGGCTCATATGGCACACTGACGTCCCTGAAGTAATCAAGGAGCAGTGACTTGGTTTTAAGTTCACAGGAATCCAGAGTCTTCTTGCTTTCTAGTACGCCAAGTTATATCACTGACCGTCTGGCATTAGACCACAGACTACAAGATTCCTCGCCACAGGATTGGCTGAGCAAGCTGAAACACTCACCGTCCAAAAAAAAAAAAAAAAACACTCAAAAATAAACCAGAATGAGCCCCTTGGATATGATGTGTGAAAAAAAGCACAGAGCAGGCTGCATGACCTTTCCAGCCTTTTGGTAAACTTGTACAAGGCGTTGGCGGGAGCAAACAGAAGGTGACAGATATCAGAATGCCACATGTCACCAGCGCTTCTGCCAGTGTAGCTGTGGGAGCAGCTCAGGGGCAAGAGACTTAGGACAGACGGAAGGAATACGAAGAGGGGGAGAAGGTCAAAAATTAATCTCCTAACCACTAAAACACACAAGAAGGGAGTGTCATCACACTTGTGCGCTCCACTTGTATTTCACAGTTTGACAGAGTTACCATGATCAGACCGGAGGCTATACAGGATTCCCTCAGCTGTCTACTCTCTACCAATGAAGACAATGAGATTATAATTCAGTGGACAATTAACAATTATACCCAACCAAAATACAGAGGAAGGAAACCACTGACACAAAATGTGAGAAAATTTAGAAAAATTTCCAAGAGCCCAAGGTGACATCTTCAAATTGCGAGTCAATAGGCCTAAAACCAAACATATTCAATTTAAAGTGATATAAAACAGAGAAAAGCAGCAAATTCTGTCAGAGTAGCAAATATTTATTTTTGTTTGATAAACACTGATTCATAATCAAGTGATTCCGAACAGGATTTTTCAAATAAGGCCGGGCCTGGGGCAGAGTAAGGAACCAATTTAAACATTTCATAGTTTTTTTAAGTTGACAGCCAAAAGAAGGGTGTGAGCCAATGAGATGCCCTGTCCAATTAACACTGCCGAGGTGTGTGCATTTTTCAGCATGACACCACCATCATCCTGAGCAGTCTGAGCGTCAATCTGACAGCAAGCATGACACTCTGCCCCACAACCCATTGTTCAATATTACTGAAGCTCTAAAGAACTGCTGTAGCCCTTTGGTAATAACTAAAACTAAAAGCTTATATATAACGTATTTTTCCACTGGAGATTTTACAATAATTTGAAGTTATATTAAAGAGATGGCAAATCCAAACCTACACAAATATCTGCAAGGTGTGTCACATTGAAAGAGTGGCCATATTGTGCGATGGTTTATGTTAATAATGTCCATCCTGAATTTGTGCAACGATGCAGGATGGACAGTTTGAGGCATATAGATCAGGAAGCGAGAGAGAGAGCGAGCGAGAGAGGACAAGAGGGCATTGCTTTCATTCGCTGCGTGGTAGCTTGACAAATGTTAGCATGAGCCTCTAAAGCGCTGTGACAACCGCCTGCTGAGAGCACAGTCTTGCTAATGTGTCCTGGCATGCCAGCCCCGTAATCACACATTTACATATGCAATGACCTACATTTGCATGTCAGATCGCACACTGTCCGGCATGATTAACAGTGGGCACCTCCCCGTGTGGAGTCGCCCTGGGTGGCAGCAGAGGCCGTGCGAGGGCGGAAGAGAGGGCTGGAGGGAGGGCGGCTTTTTTGGCAGCCAAGGGGCCGGGCTGCCAGGCAGGATTATGTCAGCCAGCGGCCCCGGCATTAGACACTTCATTAGAGCTAATCTGTTTAGCAGTGGGCAGTGTATGTAAACTTCACAGGCCATTTGCGGCACCTCTTCGCCCCCTGGCCTGGCCTTCAAAGGGCAGCCAGGCCACAGCTGACTGACAGGCCGTCTCATCTGCCGCACACGGGTGTCACACAATCAGGAGCTCCCAGCTGAAACACAAAGCCCTGACAAACACACACACACACACACGCACGCACGCACGCACGCACGCAGGCACGCGGCCACACACACACACACACACACACACACACACACACACACACACACACACACACACACACACACACACACACACACACACACACGCACAAGGGAAGTCACAGAGGAATGACCCTGAATGACGCAGGGTCAGTGTCTGAACAAAACTGGGAGGGTTATACAGATTACTTCTTGTAAGAATCTAAACCTGACTCTTCATGTGTATGTTAAATAAGCTGGCTGAGCAAAAACATAAAGGCCTAGTGGACTTTTCACAGGTCTTGTGTATCATGTTTATCTGAATGAGTAAAGCATGGCACAGATGTGTTTCATTCATCGGATGTCCATCATTTAGAAACAGAAGAAGAAAAACTGGGCATGTTAGGTAAAACCACCCAGTCAAGGCATTAAAAACAATTCTTCAGTAGACTTCAAAACAAAGCTGAATATTTACCTGAAATTAATTAATCACTTTATTTTACATTTATTCATTACAAACTTCTCTTATCAATGTCTGAAATCCACAAAAGAATTGCCAAAACTAAATCATTGAAAAATCCTTAGATTACTGTAATGACATGGGATCACATGTCAGAAGTGATAATTTACTCCAGGCATATACAATAAATAAAGGCTGAGACAACAAAACAATTAGTGATTATTACTCTCTTTTTAAATTATGATCTTCATAATACAGACTTCCTTCATCTTTTTCTCAACTTACATTTCTGTGTTTTGTTTTGTGCTTACTCTTTTCACTCACATCATTCTGGTTTGTGATGGCGACAAGCTGCAAAGGATGGAGATTTAGTGGCAGCCGTGCAAAGCATTATGGGTAACGTCTGTGAGGGACAGCATGTCTTGGGTATAAAGGTGACACACAACCGCCATGGGCAACTCACTAGCAGGGGGATTGAAAGAGAGAGGGGGAGAGGGAGAAGGAGGGAGAGAGAGAGAGGGAGAGAGAGAGAGAGAGAGAGAGAGAGAGAGAGAGAGAGGGAGAGGGAGCAAGAGACAGAGAGAGCAGATAGACAGCTCATCGGAGGAAGTGTGATACGGGCTGCCCGATAATGACACCATTGCCAAACACAACTGACAAGACACATGGAGAGTGGAAGAGGGAATGCAGAAGACAGGGAGAGGGAAAGAGGGTGAGAGGGGGGGAAGACAAGCAGCAGAGGGAAGAGGGTGTGATGTGACAGCCCAGCAGTGCCAACGGCTGCCACAGAAAGGCCAGCGGCGGCAGAGAGGTGCTGTCTCCCATGGAGAGAGACAGGGAGGGATGCAGAAACAGAGAGAGAAACTCGGGGCACGTCCACACAGAGCCAGCGAAATTTGAAAACGCATCTCTCCATTTTGGCAGGACTGTCCACATTGAACCAGCACCTGAAAACTGAGCTTTGAAAAAATGTGTGGATGGTAGAAATTAAATATCCAGTAGTAGAAAAATAAAGGAAATGAGGGGAGCACAAGAAGGGAAATGACAATTAACATGGGTCCGAGACCAGATATGAACTGGGGACATTGTGGTGCCCGGTTGGTACCTTTATCCCAAGGCCACCAGGGCGCCTGTGATCACTTATTTTAAATGTTAATATACACGATAGGGTTGTACAATATATGGTTCAGCATCATCATCAGTGTCACAAGAGCTAGCTCAAAGTTCAGTTCACACAGATTAAAATGCACTCATTCACATTCATAGTTCACAATCTTGAATTTGGAACTAAGGTCCAAGTCCCAAAAAATGAACTGGTTCACACTAATTTCTTCTGTTTTTTTAAATTAGCTGCTCTAAACTATTCTTTTTCAGTAGAACCTCCTCCTATCCATCCATCCCTAGCCCCCAGTCAATGCCACTTCCCAAACCAAATGGATTACTCTATATAATCAACTGCTCACAGACAGCTTTTGGAATCCCCTGGTCTGCACCAGTTCTAAATGAGCTGCTTGGCACCAGCCGAGGCGACCCACCAGGCCCCACACAAACGGTACCCACGCTCTCATTCACGTTCAGTGGTTGCAGACTAATAAGTTCGCTGTTCACCAAAACATGAACATGTTCAATGAAGTCGCTCATTTAGCTTGTTCATGCACAACACTACTTGTAATGTGAGCATGCATAGTCAAATCACAGGACGTGTAATGTCAAATAAGGCTAACTAAATCAAACACGTCTACACCTTTTTAGCTGCTTAATAAAAAAGGAAAACTCACTCAGTTCTCATTTTCCATGACTAATCTACAAGATATTCCATAATTTACTCAGAATAAAGGTCTTGGATACAGAGTTTGTTGCTATTGAGTGACATGCAGGCTCCCCACGCACAGCAAACCACCAATTACAGTCTGATCAGTTTATCAAACAACCAAAGCAGGCCACACCCCTGCTAGTCATCGACCGCAACCTGAAAATGAGCAAGGAACAGGACAAACACAGAAAAGAAAGATTTGGTTGCAAAAAAGAAAAGCAATGTCAGTTGTATATAATTAGTTCAGCAACAGAAAGGATGATGCTGACCAAAAAAACCGGCAGGCCTATTCAAGCCATGTGGTGAAAATCCCTGTATTAATTCATCTCACAATATATATCACAGAAAAAGCAGTGTAATAGCTGATCACACCATGCACAGGCTGCATTAAGCTGTGTTTAATGTTTATATTGTCAGATGAGTGTGATCATAAAGTATTGACTAATATTCAGTTAACAGTTAGTTAACAGTTAGCATTTATGACCAATGATTAAACACTATTTTCTGCTCATTGAGTTGTTGGACAACAAAAACTAAGAATTGTATAAAGAAGAACAAATATATTGTAAGTTTATCTGCATTAGAACCAACAACAAAGGTTTATCCTGCTGAGACCCAGCTAAATAACTGAGCTGTGTCTTTCTTATCGCTAACCAGATGTTGGCTGTGATGCAAAGTGTTGCTGTTTGCTGAGTGAAACAGAATGAGGAAGAAGAGATTTGTTTTGTTTCTCCTTTCTTATTTTTCAAGCGCTTTAGTACGGACGAGGATCTCCACCAATACGACCTCAGAGCTCTAGTATGGACATAAATTGTTTTCATATGTAAACGATGTTTACAAAATTAGTCGGATTACTGTGGCTGTAGTCTCCAAGAGAGACAGGGAGGGATACACGGAGAGGCAGAAACAGCAACTGGCAAGCAGGGGGGATCCCTCCCACCCTCACCAGTCACCAGCCCCCTTGAGCACGGCACCATGCAATATTCATCCTCAGCCAGTCAGCCACTGAGGCAGCCAGGCAGTCAAACCAGCAGGATTCACCCCAAAGGTGCTTCTCGTTCTTCTCCTCTCAATCTGCTCCACAACCGCACCGCCTTGTCTCAGCGCTTACAGACAGATCCGTGTCTGTCAAACTCTGCAGTGACGATCAAAATCTGATCTGAGGGGGCCTCCTCACCAACCCTCCCTCCCACTCACTCAAAGAGCAAATGCGCCATTAAAAATGCACATCTTACCAGCTCATCTCGTTTACCTAATGCATATGCATCATACCTCCGGGACCAAGAGAAATGATATTGCAAGCGATACAGAATATCCTTCATCACATATACAATTCAGATTTCTTCAGGAGGAGGCTGGTGGGTTTTTTTCCCCTGTGCTGCCAAGCAGACTGAACCTTGGGAAAGTGTGAAACAGATAGAGGACTTGTTGAAAGACACCCATCTGGATGCTGGCTAGACAGCCATCTACATATACTAACTGACTCTCTGTCTCCATCTCCCACTAAATGTGAAATCAGTTCAGACGTGCTCTGTGAGAGTGAAAAAACATGATGATGCCACATAGAAAGTTCACTGTGCTTCCAATATCCTAAGCACAAAAAGTAGGCCTGGAATTAACACTGATGTAAACTGCTAGAAATAGATTGAAAAACAGAGAGAGAAATCATTAAGCCTGAACAATAACACATAATCAACTGTTGGGAGATCAGCAGAAGATCTAGTGTCTTTGTGTGTATGCGTGGGGGTGTGCTGCCTAAGTCAAATTAATCATTAGAGCTTTTATCTGACTTTCTTCTGTGTGCAACCCAATTATCCTTAATTTTGCAATTACAAATCTTAGAATAAATTAACCCCCTTGGCAATTCCAGTGTTAATGTTGCAGTGCCCTTGCAAACGCAAGAAAAACAACAACTGAGAGCATAGGCCTATTTTTAGTGTTGTTTCTTTCTCAAAAAAAAAATTTACTCTGGGGCATATGGATGATCCTCTTTGTTTAAAGTTTATTCAATAGTTATGGAGGCAAAAACATCCTTCTGGAAAGAAATCAATGGGCCTGATGTTGGAGGGCGGTATTAAAATACAACAATGACCAGATCTGCACAGAGCAAACCTGAGTTGTATTGAACCAAGAGAAGCATGTGGGGAGGCCGGGCTGTGCCAGCCTCCAGAGCTCTGATCAATAGAAACAACTCAACATTCATCTACTGCTGTCTATCTCACACACTGGCTACAGTGGTCTGAAGGATGTTTGTACTGAAAAGCGCATCTTGACTGAAGCAGGGAAAAAAGGGGCAATTCAGAATATTTACAGTTTGAAAAGTGGTGGGAAGGTATGCTGACAATGAATGGATGAAGGGATATGTCATAAATTATGAAATACTTCCCCATGTCAATTAATCTACAGGAAAACAATATGTAACCCCACAGTCCTAATTAACTTTAACAAAATCACACAAAACTATATGGAAGGATAAAATCTGTCACGGCTGCAATAAAACATTTACTGAAAAAGAAACCCTTAGCAGCAAGGGTGGGCCACAAGAATAAAATATTTTATCATAGCATTTGTAGTTTTATATCAGAATCATGATGAAGTACATTTTAGAAATTAAATTGAGAAGCTAGTAATAGATTAATTCAGATGACTGGATCTTAAATATATGAAAAATCAATATACTTCATTACATTAAAGCAACTAGCATGTGAATCTAACACTGACTTGACTTATAGCAGAGATTTACCCCAGTTTCAAAGGTACTACTGAATATCAGGCAGCTGACAATTTTCGTTACCTCACTTTATATGTCATATTACTTCACAACACTAGTTTGCAGTTTGGATTGTGTTCATGTGTGTGTCTCTGTGTTGGGTTACCTGGGGTTGGAACACTGGCACAGCTGCTTGCTGTCCTTGTGGCTGTGTGTCCATATCCATGGTGTCAGGAGCTTGAGCCTTTACACCTCTGAGAAACAAACACAAAATCGAACTTCCAGTTAGCCGACTCAACGTTGACCATTAGACAAAACCCTAAAACATTCTACAATAACATTTCACAACAGAAAATATTGGCCTCAGTCAACTGGACAAATGTTTGTTGTTGTTCAGCACCAAACTATTGAGTGCTGGTTGCTGCCGCAGTGTCCAGTTTCAGCTGAACTGGATCCCATGTCATGCCTGTGGATTTGACACTCTTTGTCTGGGTCCCTCTCAAGTTGCAGCATGGCTCGGCTATGGCAGGGAGCTATATTAATCTGAACAAAGCAGAGATAATGCTGCTCTGTATTTCCTTGGCATTTCTCCAAGGAACCTTTCCTGGGAATTACTGGTTATACCGGCATTTAAGCCATTCCACTTCATTTTCTGTTTACTGAGAAAATATAGGCCACACAGAGGTGAGTGTGCTGGGTATGAGTGTATGCCATGGTGCTGTATAATTGCATGTTCTGGCATGTAGCCTAGAAGCAAGCTAATTGCATATGATACTCCACCAGCAGTTGCTTGGCTTATCACCACACTTAAAACAGACACTGCCATAATATGAAATGTTACCTGAATGAATAATTTACACAAATCTTTGAAAAAAAAGTATGATGCAAAAATTATTTTCACACATGCAATTAGCTTATGATTCTAGAGTCTCCTCTCAGCTCATGTATGTGGGAAGAACTCAGACTCTGACAGATGTTCCAGGATAATTTCCAGTGCACAATGTAATTCACATAATATGGTTACATAGTCTAACAATTAACACTAATTTACCCATAATTTACACACGATACAATGCATGCATAACACTAACCGTATGTCACCCACAAGCAAACACATATGTGAGCTGAGGTGTTTTCATGTATTCAACATTCAAAATTAAGTTAAAAAATGTGTGCATTAGTATTTGCTGTGTTGTTTGAGTGACTGTGTGTGTACGTGTGTGTGCAGATGAAGGGGTATACATGCATCTGCACACACGCTAGGTGCATGCGGAGAAAATGGAAATAGCTAATGCTGTGAAGCAATAACAAACAGAAGCTATCGACAGAGGTGGAGAAAAAAGTCCGGACCTTACTTGTTCAAAGTCAGTAAGGAGAGGGAAAAGAAATGACGAAGGACTAGTACCATATATGGCTAGTTTAGCCAATCCAGATTATAGTTAAGGAAATTATTGTTTCTGCTACTATACTGTTGCCTATTTGCAATGTCCTATTTACATTAATACTGTATGCACAAATGGACAAAGACACATTTAAGTTCCATAAAAAGGTAAAGGGACACGACACACTTCAGAGTGGGACATTTGCATGTTTTTTCCACTAGAGTGAAGGAGGTTTGTCTGCAGATCTGTCAGCCTGTCATCTGTATATTAGTAACAGCGTCTCCTTTCTGTCGCCTCAAACCTCCCCGGCCAATTAAAAATCCCCCGGTACAATGGAGAGGTGAATTGCAGTGAGGAGCTGTCTCGACCTGATGTCGTCAGTCCCATTCACTAAAGGTTAATAATGCTAATTAGACATCCGCAATAAATAAACAAATAAATGTTTGTGTGCGTTGGGGGCTTTCATATGTGTATGTAAGAAGACGCATATGTGTGCGTATGAGTGCACATGAGCAGGCAAGTATTGTGCTTATACTGTGGTTGTTTATTTTAGATTAGTTCAGCTTTTCTTTCAGGGGGTTCACTGGCCTTCATCTGAGCTTTGAAGATCATGAAAATAAGTGTTTGCACAACACTATTTCTCCTGGGATTGCACCGACTATATTGGGAATATTATTTCCTGAAATTTACATTAAAAGCTTGTTTCAAACAAGTTTAAATCAATTCAGATGTAAAAAGGGTTTACAAATAATAAGGATTTAAAAGCATCCACCACTGGAGGCAATAGAGGCAAACAAGAAAAACATTGTTAAATGTCCGATCCTGAATCTTTTGCTCCCCATTTTTGACTTTATAAACCTACCAAAGAAAAATAATTTTTGAAAGCCAACTATTGCCATGACTTTTATAAGGGCCTGGCTATGGTTAGGTTGCCTAAAATGTAACACTGACACCATACTCATGATGATTAGTTTTTGACTGTTTCCATGAAAACACCGCTTTAAGGATATATAAGGCTACCTAGTGTCCCATCCAGAGTTACCAATTTAAATACTTTTTTTACTGAGCAACAATAAAATCATTTCAACAGATAAGAAAACAAAAGAATGTTTTATAAAGCATATCTAGAGAAAGAGTTTGCACATACAGAAAAACATGTGGGAAGACTGAAAACAGTCCTCATAATTATAGAACATGTTGTTCACATGCTGACCTTAACAACTAATGGTATGAACAATGGTGGAGAAAAAAAGAAAAAAAAGAAAAAAAAAGACAGTTCCAGTGATAAAATAAATGATTGGTGCTTCAGAAGTCTGCTCTATTCACACAATCACCATAGCATTTTAAACATAATCACATTAATGTGGTTATTAGTTCACTTAATAAAAGTATAAAAGCATTATGGATGAAAAATAGTGTGAAGAAAATCAGTTTTCCTCACTAACATGCAGATCTATGAGCGGTGTCTTAGGCTTTTGGACCCCACTGCTGTTGTACAAAACTGTGAACACCACAAGCAGAGAGCACCATTATGATACTGATACAGTGTTTACCATGGTGATGGAATAATTTTAAACTGTAACAGGGGAAAACTGTTGTGTCAGTGTTTTACTAAAATGTAAAGATTGTGTAAATTATCAACTGTTATTTTAATACCAGTGATGATGATCAAATATTTATCATTGTAGTCAAATTAAATGAATAATAAAAGAAATAGCATTAAAATTTGTTTTACATGTTTTTTTTCATCCAGTCAGCACTTGAACAAGTAAGAAGTATGTTAATCCTTAAATTAAATGGGTAAAAACAGAAATCAGCATCCACGTGAATAAATAAATATGCACTTCAACCTTTAATATTTGTACCTTTGTTTTCTTTTGGTTTCAGGGCCTATTAAGACAATCTGAAAACATCCTGGATGTGCATGGGGAACTTAATAACAGGTGAAAATAGGGCTTATTAGACAGAGGTTGACTGGATGGCTGACCTACTGGGTGTTGTGGTATTTTGATTTTGGTGTCACAGGGGACTTACAAGTTATACACCCAGCCGACGAGCCTTCCTGTCTCCTGTTGTGATTCTTTGCACTTCAGCCTTGTGTTTTGTTAGATGGGGGCTGGCACCCTTACTCCTCTCCCTAACCCGCTATTGTTTCTGACTGTCTACGTGTCAAAATAACCAGGAGGCATCTGAGGTCCCTGACGTTCTTTCGCCTCCCACGTCCCACATTAACGAGATCAATTAAGACTGCCATGTTAGATTAACACACACCAACAAACTGCACAGCTAACGAAGCTAACTCAATCAAGTGGAGTAAACCAGGCAAAGTCACACTCTTATGGCTGCCACACAGTTTGAGTAATGTGCAACCAATCAAAACCAAAGCATTGTCCTAGTGATTGGAACAATGCAACAAACCGATGAAAACTAGAACTTTCATCATGTTAACCCTAAATCTCCCTGAATCACTCTCTCCACAAACCCCACTCCACTATTGTCCACCACTATCTCATTGTCTCTGTCCGACAAAAGATCCTGTCGTCATCACAGGAGGGAATTTTTGACTTCCAAAACATTTGGTTGGCACAAACAGCAGTGGAAACTCAAGGTACCAGTCTGCCTGTATTTCTGTCATTTGGATGAGAAATGGTGGCTGGCTGGCTGGCTGGCTGGCTGGCTAGGATTTTGGCAGCAGCGGGCAGCAGCAGCTAAAAGTTAAATCCCCTAACTATTCATAGATGCGTGTCGGAGACTAGTATGGAGCTTTGGTTTGAGACAGCTGCAAATATACAACAGGATAAACCTATGTTTGGTGTACGGGAGAGAATCAATACAGGCTAAATATGTGGACACACAACATGCAGATAGCGTGTACCTATAATCATAATGTATATAGAAAGTCTCAAGTTTTACCATTTAGACTAGATTTAGATGTTTTAGTGCCTCACAGCTATGAGGTGAAGATCTTAGACTCATACTATTATACTGTCAAACTTTGAAAGACATAATGTTGAACAAATGATCAACAACCACTCTTCCATTAAGTTAGGCTGGCAGGTATGAATATATAATTTTTTTAGCAGATAAAAACTGGGGAGATCGAGAGTATATTGGTGAGTGAGCTACCAAGAACCCCATTTATCTTTCAGACAAACTGATGGTTGTTTTTCTGTTGAGGAAAGAAAAAAAACTCTCCTATCCAGACCACCAACCACTCAGTGTAAACAAACAATATTTTCTCACTGTGTTCCATCTAATGTGAGACTCCAGTCCGACATTCTCACAGCAGGCCCAATCACACATAGGTAATTATATGATAGACGAGGGAAGGCAGAAACAGAGTGAGGCAGAGCAGGAGGAGGAAAGAAAAACAAGACTATTCAGCAATTTTCAGTGAACAGCCTTCTTTCTTCTTACACTTCCAGCACACACCAGATTTGTTGATTCTTTTTTTCTCTTGCTTGAGACATATCTCCATTCCTCACTTAATTCCTATCATACTCATCTCAAATCAGTTTTTTCCTGTGACACATGCTTAATTAACCACTGCACTGAGCAAAACTCTATGCCTTCTACTCAAATGGACAGAGTGGAGAGTCACTTTAAGCTACAGTTCCCCTGATTGCCTTGAAATACTGGCTGCAATCAAATGGGCACTCCAGCGATTAGCATTAGTATTGCACCTTCATAAAGTTGGTGAACTCACCTGATGACATCATCCAGAGCTCCCTCCAGAACCACAGAAGTTATTATACAACTGTTTTCACAGGCTGAGAACCACTCCTCATGACAAGTGAACTAAACTTGCCTGCACTTATTTTTCTCGTGATCTATACAATCAATTCATTTTAGAAAAAAAAAAAGAAATTTCT